CCCCAAAACCCCAAAACCCCAAAACCCCATCTATCAAAGTAGATGTGAATTAATGAAAGTAAAAATAATTTATAAGATTTTATTCTTCACTTCATTCATAAAATATGACGACTGCTTAAAGTCTAAATCAATTACCCAACAAAGAAGCTAAAAGATTATCTGTTCGAACTTCAACAAAAGATAATGAGGAAGAGAATCCTATGGGCATCAAGAAATTACTAACTAGGCTTAATACAAAAACATCAAATTAAAAACGGACATCAAATGTAAGCATAATGAATCAAAATTCCCAAAATTAAGCTCAATCCAAGCAGGACAAGGATGAGCTGCTTGAAATCCCAAGCAAGTAGGATTAAAAAAGCTAAAAGGGTAACGATAAAAAGAAAAAACGTAAGATTTCACTCAGAAGATAGATCACTCTGGTTAAATCAAATACGATCCTTAGCAATGAGGAATCTAAAGGAGTTCGGTATTCTGTAAACATTGAGTCTCCAGGGTAAATTAACTTTATTAAAAATATTTGATATAGGTTAGGTAGCAATAAAATTGTCTAGCGGGATTCTTTGAAAGTTATTAAAAAAGATGTATTAAATAAGAAACATATGAGCACTGTGATGCAAGTACATGAGTTACCATAATTAGGAGGAAAATCCAAACAGAAATAAGTTTCGAACTTCTTTACTTCTCAAAATGAATAGAAGATTGATGAGGAAAATTAGTCTATTATATCTGAGGATGATGATGATGAAGAATATATGAACTAGTTTGCAGACTTAGATGATCCCTTAAAAGAGGTAAATTTATAGTAAGTCTAAATAAGACGTTTTTAGTATGAAAATGATGAACTATTTAAAAAAGTTCTTTATATATCAGATCTTATTACAAGTAACAGTCACACTGAAGCGGAGAATGAAGAAATTGTGAATTATTTAAAGACATTATCTGGACTTTAAGGAAAGTGTGATCATCTCAATAAGAATCTAACAAAAAAGGTAGAAACTAAAATGTTCATAATTTTAGTTAATCGATTCACTGGAAATTAGATTTTAAAGTAAAGGAGAATATATGTTTAGGAAGGGTTAAAAAGCCGATTATGCATATGTAGTATTATATGGAAATGTCATTTTCTTGTAAGTCAAGCAATAATCTTATCTCAAAGGCTCAGAGCCTTAAAGTCCGCCTCCTGTAAAGAGCAGCAATCCTGTAACAAATACCATGCAAAATGCATTAAAAAAATAAGTTGCTGATCAAAAGTAGAGGACTATTGAACAAGAACTTACATTTCCTAAAAGAACTAGAATAGTTAATGGTCCTTATATCATGATTGAAGAAGAGGAAAAAGTTTGGGAAGTAGCAGAAGGGGCAATAATTGGAGAAATAGCTATGATGGATCCATTAAAAGCAACAAGAGCATTATCAGGTATGAATTTAATCTGTTCAATAATGATAGGAATGGCCAAAACTGATTGTGTATTTTTACTACTCAATCATGATGCTTTTGACATATTGGTTAAGGAAAAGCAAAAGAAAATAAATGAAGCAATGACTTAATTTTTATTTGAAGCTGTTCCAAGAATGAAGGATTTATTTTAATTTAAGAAAGTGTAAAAAAATGTGCACGTGCTATTTAAAGAAATAGTAATTATCTTATTCTTTTTATCAGTATTAGAATGAACAACGAAAAAAGGAAATTTTCAAAGAAGGAGATGTGTCTGATAAGATTTTCATTCTAAAAACAGGTCAGTGTGCACTATATAAAGTAATAGAGTTCAAAGATGAACTTGGAATCACAAAGCAAAAGTAGGAAAAGCTCATGAATATCGAACCAGGTGCTATGTTTGGAGAGAATGCATTGTTTTTTAATAATAACAATCAGTACTCAATCAGGACTATAACTCCAGCAACCTTTTTCACAATTACTCATGTAGAATTTAAAAGAGAGTTCAAGAGACTATAGCCATCATTATGTGAATTCTTCAAATAGAGGAATGAATTCATACAAGAGAGGGAATAATATATAAGAAATGCTAGAAAACATGAAAAGAAGAATTTCAATTCTAAGATTGAGTAGGGTGACATGAATATATTCTTATAAAAAGATTTTAAAACACAAGTCAATTTTGCTGATAACTAAACTAAAAAGAAATTATAGGTATTTTTCTTGAGAAAAGAGCTTTAGCAATTAAATAAAGCAAAAAAAGAGTTAGATTTAGAATAAGAGCTAACAAGAAACAGACTGAATATGACAAGAAAGAAAGGATTAAGTTTGAATAATTGGACATCAGACAATGAAATCTATGAGAAAGTTAAAGTAATGTATTCTCCGCAGAAAGCTCTAAAAGATGAATTTGGCTAGATTAGAAGCCATGAATTTTTCAAAACTTTACATTTAAAGAGTTCTACTAGCAAGCAGACTTTTATTGAGGGTATTAAAACTGATATGCAGCAATCGATTTTGAGCAAAAATGGATAGTTTGAAACTCCAAGAGGAGTTGACCAGAACTAATTAAACTTAAGAGAACTAATGTAAATGAATATAAAAAGAAATAGAAACTCTAATTTTAGTTTGTATAAAGCAGTTAAAGGTGAATGCAGAACATAATCATAGGCAAGTCTCTAGAATTATACTTCAGGACTTTGTAATAACAGAATTTACAAATCGATCCACATAGAAAGTTAAACTAAAAATCCTATTCCAATATTGAAATCATCATAATCAATGGCCCAATTAGTAGTGTCTCCAACTCTTTCAGATTAAAAGGGATCATCAGATAAATTTTTTGAAAAAAGAAAGCAAAGACAAGGTTCAAATTCTCAGCCAAGACTATTTTGAAATTAATTAATATAGCATTGGAATTATTTGAGATAATTTAATTAGAGATATTTCATTCAAATTAAAGATATTATGCGTTAAATATAGTCATTAGCACTTACTAATTCAACCTCTTAATTTAATCATTACTTATTTTTAATCATCATTATTATTAATTGAAGCACTTTCCTTATTTTCACAATCATATCCTAAAACCATTCTATATTGCCTTCAGAGTAAAGCGAGTGCATTTCATTTAGACTCAATGTTTTATCATCGAAATTATATCCCCAATCGATAATTTTGCACAAGTCTATAACATTTGAAGCAGGATTTCCGATTCCAATATTTATTAAATCTTCTGAGAATAGCTATGCAATAAAGTACTAAAATAGAGAAAGTATGACATTTCCAATGATCTTGAAATTCCATAAAATTGTTTGATTTTAAGTCTGTGTTATTCCGTTCTCAATAGGTTTGAATAGAATTTTATTGATTAATACTTTACAAAAGATATAGGATCCAATGACTAGCATCTAGCATTTAGAGTCTAGTTCATTGAATGCTCCAGATTAATCAAACTTAAGCAGTTTCATCTCTATTTTAGAGAATTGTTCAACAGGTTGATATGTATTTTCAGAAAAGTAAGATGAGAAAAATACAAGCAATGGTTAAGGAAATGTTTTCGGAATTGAATATTCAATTAGCCCATCAAGTATCGACTTCACTCTGATTCTAATTTGCATTAACCGACTTTATCTTTTAGCCTGGCTGGTAAAACCTTCTTCCATAAAGTCAAGTTTTTCTTCTTGAAATTAGAATATCTAAAATTAAATAGGATCAATAATTATAGATTACACTCTGAATTGCAGATTTAGTAGATTTGACAATCCATCCTTTCATTACCTCATTGTAAAGAGGGAGAGCTTTATTGAAATCGTCAAAAAATTGAATTCTTTGTCTCATACGCTGCCTTCTTACTTCAAATAAGAGCTAGTTAAACATTAGAATCACCCTTACAACAACTTTAAGCATTTTATTCTTTCTTATTTTTCTATTTATTAAAATGATAATCTAAGCTTAGAATTTGATATAATTACTTAAATGATCTTTTATTGAGCAACTGATTTCTAACTCTTAGTACATTTAACTTCAAGTCCTTATGGTCCTTGTCCTCCTCATCTTCTTGCATATCTTCATCTATTCTAACTTCTACTTTTTCATGAATGTCAAATTCTGGCAGTCTCTATATATAGAAATAAAAACCATACTATATTTAACATACCAACTTTTTGAGTAGGTACTCTCTATCCTTTTTAGATCTTTCAATGATTCTCTGCTTAGCTCTCTTTATATCAGGCCTGTAAAGCTGCTGTTCATTTTATATTTCATTGAATATTTCATCATATTCTTTAAATACTATTTACCTATCCTATTTATCCCTAAGTTTGTCTTGTGACGTCTCTAGTAACTCTGTCACCTTGTTCTTTTTCTAATCTGTTCCGATAAATTATGCTGGCTTATAATGCGAATTCTAGCTTGTAGCATCAAAATCTCTGCGACTAGGTTCAAGACTTTACTTATAACTGTTATTATTATTCAAAATAGGCTTCAATATATTGAATGAGCCATGAGGCTCAAATTAATCTTTCATTCGACCCTCAATTGAACCTTCCATTGAACTTTTTAATTTTTCAAAAGAATTTTAGCTCTCTTTGTTTCTCTTTGCATCTGATCTATCAATTAATGCTTTTAGATATTTTCTGTTGCTGTTCTGTACACTCACATTTTCACTTTGCATGAGAGATTAAATTTTCTTCATTCTTATTCTTTCATTTTAAGTTTGAAGTGACTGTAACTTTAGAGTAAGCTCTCTATTTTATCTAACAAGTTCTTCTGTTTTATCAAATTATAACTAAGGCGATCTCAAGTTTGGAGAAAGGTCTCTTAAATTTACCTTAATCATGTTATTAGGTAGTTTATTTGCTGAATGATCAATAGTCTTAAATGTACTTAATAGTGATTATCTTTAAGGATCAATGCTTCTATTTAGATATGACTGCTTATGATCTTTTTAAATACTTTGATCTATGGTGTTTTGATAAAAGTTATTTGTGTAAGGAACCTAATGATCAAGAGATTAATAAACAAGAGGTTTTAGTTTTTATTATATTTTGGAAATAGGCTATAATTCTTGCCGATGATGCTGATTACTACTTGAACTATGAATTTAATACTTGCTCAAAGACAGGTTATTGTAATGTTCTTATTGAGAAAATGAAAATTAAGGAGACTCTTATTAAACATGATTTCTATTTCTTATGATATTTTATTGCAGAAGATTCTGATTCAAAGTATCATTGTTCTAATAGCGAGTAGGGTATATTTAATTGTTTTTTAAATAAGAGTTATTTCATCTCAAAGTATCCTAAGGAGAAGAATATATACTCTGTGGATAGTTTCCATTATAAATGCTTGATACAACTCTATTATTGCTAATGTTCATTTTAGTAACTTATTTATTTTAAAACTAAAGTCTGCCAATATTTGCTTTCAATATCTACCCACGGGGTTTTGGGGTTTTGGGG